ATTTTAGTTAACTAAAATAAAAACAAGTATGTGTATGTGTGTGTGTGTATATATGTTTGTTTCTTAGAAGAGAAAAAGGACAATAAATAGTGTTTCAAAGTGTTTTTATGGATGTTTTGTTGACTCAATGTAGATATAGGAAATTTCTTATTTACAGTACTTCAGTAAAGTGATCCTGCATTGCCATCCTGCCTAGAGCTTTTGCCCCCACCATCGAAAATTTTCTAGATCCGCCACTGGTTGAGGTCTGTGACAGACTTGGAAAATGAGAGAAATAGTTAATAAGGTTGGCGACTTAAGATGTGTCGTCATAGCTTGCCACATCTATCGTGTGTATTTTTATCACTCGAGCTAGGTTTAGGATCCTGTGTTGGGCTTTCACTTCTGCTAAAATGTTTGGGGCAAAGATTAAGTCTATAGTTGCCCTTTTCTTTGATCAAACTCAGCTAATCCCATTGCTTAAATCCAGCTTTTAGCTAGCATGTTAGCTTGAGAAAAGTGACAAGTGAGAAGTTCTAAAATTAGCCTGAGTAGAGATCCTCATTAGGATAAAGTTGATGATAGAACACTTTGTTAAATCTGTATGAAGGTAATTACATCAGCAAACATTTTTCAGAAAGCAGTCCAACTGGTTTTTGTTTAGTTTTTTTTTTTTTTTTTTTTATCAAAGAGACAAATCAGAGACGGGTAACTGAGAAAGACCTGCACAAATCAACAGTGTGCAGAGGCTGTTTACATTCTTACTTTAAGTGAAGTCATTGAAAGGACAGCTTCCCAGCATCTTTGACACAAAAAGAAGTTTGTGATAAATATCTTGAGAAGTCAGTTGCACGTTGAAAAGAAGTACTGTGGAGCCAAACGTTCAGTATTTTATGTTTGGATGGTTTAAACCAAAGATAAGAACGTTTTTACCCAATGTGTGTTTTTTTATAAATGCAAACTACCCTTGTTTAAGTCATTGCTTTGACATTTAAAATATAATGTCTTACAGGCCTTTTGATGTTCGCCATCACCCACATCCTTTATTCATCTGCCTTTGGGATGAAGCCAGTAAATGTGCACGCTGGCTTCGGGCTCACTGTTGCATCCTCTCTGTGTTATTTGATGCTGTACCCCTACCTGAGCGCCCCCTTCACCTACCTGGTGGCCGTCTACATCGCTTTGATCGGCTTCATGGGCTGGAGAGCCGTGGCGGGCTTGCAGCTGGCTAATGACCTCTGGACCTGGACCAAGCTGTCTGCTTGCCTGGGCGCGGTGCTCTTCATCGTCTCTGACCTCACCATCGCAGTCAACAAGTTCTGCTTCCCCGTGCCCTACTCTCGAGCCATCATCATGGCCACCTACTACGCCGCCCAGATGCTCATAGCTCTTTCGGTCGTGGAGTGTCAAGACGTGGAGATTTCCAGGAAGAGAACATGAGAGGAAGCCCTCTCCGAGGGGGAGACGGCGGCTCCAGCTCCGGCCCCGAGTGATCATGGACACATCTCACTGCCAGATCCCCAACAACCGGTCTTCATCTTGGTGTGGCACTCACCACACTACTATTACCATGACGGTTGATCCACTACATGACTATCATCCAGCCGATCCACCAGTATAGTAGTCTCTTCTCAAGAAAACACGGTAGTATTCTCTTCAGCTATTCCTTGACTATCCAAACCTAGAAAAGGTTGTTTGTCAACCCAGTTAGAAACCCAGGCGTAGAAATAATACCACATTCGATAGAGTGTTACATTTTGTTTGGATTTCTAGAGAGCTAGTGGTTGAGTACTTTCAAGGAGCGTGTACAGTATGGTACAGAGACTGTGTGTATTTACACGACTGGTTAACACTCGCTTTCCACACAGTCCTCACACTGGGCTTCATGCAAGAACCATTCGTACGCACAGATTTGTTCTTAAATTGTGCGTACGAGTGATTGAGGAGAATTTGTGCTATTCACCAATTTTTTTGTATTCTAAGATTTTCTTCAGATATGAACAAAATTCATGAGTGGTCCAGACCTGTCGTATATTTTACATGCAGTGCGCGACTGCTCTTCTGAATAAGTGAAACTATCTAACACAGTTGTTTACACTGAAATTAAAAATATTTGACCAAAGAAAAACCGGAGCAGGACTGCAGAGAGAGATAAATATGATTTAGATTTTAGACCCACAGGAGACACGACATTAACAGCACATTTCATTCCTCGGCTTCAAAGCAGATCCTTTAATTTCACAACTGACGCTGCTAAAAATGATAGATTTACTTTTTATTCTTTGTGGATCTCCGAGAGCAGAACTTCAATCTCCGAACTCGTAAAGTTTTCCTTTTTTKACTTTACGATGTCGTTTATGAATGGACACTTCCTGGTATGTGGGGCAGGAAACGTAGCCTTATATGGTRTTTTTAGGTTGGTAATTATGCTAATCACCTCTCTTCGTGTGCAAGCACCTGATACGCATTCATCAGTTTACGCTCCTCATTTACACACTTTTCCTGAAGATAGAAGAGTTTGTTGAATCTGACGTGAACAAAAGTAAGAGAAATTTAGGATAAGAATACAAACATGTTCTTGCATGAGGCCCAATGACTCCCACTGTGGTTTTCTATTTTAAGTGGTCCAAAAATACTGCAATAGAATTTCTATTTATTGGTTTGTTAGGCGAGTAGTTTTATTCCTGCAGACTTGTTCAAAAGGGATTTTTTTTATTTACTCTGCCACCACTCGTTTGTTTTTTTGCTCTGTCCTGCATTAAGGGTGCTAACCTTTGAGTTGGAATCAGACTCACAACTGTTTTATTATCTGTGTTCCATTTCATTTCACTCACAACAACCACATTGCCTTTGCTTGCTATTAGCTCTCCCGCCCGGTTACTCTTGATGAATAGAATATTTTATTCCATTGGGATGTTCTTCAGTTACTAGATAAATGGAGGATGAATGACTGAGATAAAAAGTAAGAGGTGGAAAGGCAGAAAGGAAAGTTGCAAGACTTGAATAAAACCTGTGTTATAGCTTTAGTTCTTGCATCTGATGAGAGATTATTATTGATCTAGTTGATGTCCTCCAACACTTTCTGGTTGTAGAGTCTTGTAGAAATTTGTTTTGTCTACCATCAATTTATTTTTGACCCCCAGAACATGTGTGCAAACGCACCCAACACGCACAGCTCCTGCTGCTTGAGTTATTGGGAAAAGTTCTCGGGGCTCTTATTGTTGGACTGGCCTCGATTAGCCGACCCATGCTGGTAATGACCTTGTTATGAAAGCTGAAAAGAAAAGGCTTTGTTATTGGCTGGAGTCATTTTGTTTATCAGCTCTGTGTGTGTGTGTGTGTGTGTGTGTGTGTGTGTGTGTGTGTGTGTGTGTGTGTGTGTGTGTGTGTGTGTG